TGATGATCATGTATTAAGCAATGTCCACTTGAACTTGTTCACACTGTGATTCGGTCAATTAGTTTAGGAGTCTCAGCTAGTGTTTAATTTCTTGTAAGGTTGACTGGCTAAGAAAGACCATGAATTGTTCTTGCTGTTTTTTGCAGCCGAAAAAGGGATGATGCCGACATAGCCTTGAAGTATGACATGCTTTTTTGGGAGCTATCTTATCCTCCACCTGCGCCGATTTGCTTGATCTCCTCCGACAAGGATTACTGGGGCACAATGGAACGTATGGTGAAGACTCAATACGAGATAATACTTGCATATAACGCTGCCCATGCAAGCAAGGACATTAAAGACGTTGCCGTGACCGATTCTTTTGATTTCCCATCAGTAGCCAAAGGGATTTTAACAATTCCAACTCCCTCTGCCATGCCCTTAGGCCTTGGCACTTCTCCTCCTAGTAGGCCACTACCTCCAAGTCCTTCTTCAAGCGAACTCTTAAAGCTAAAGGTTTGTTTTTAACTTTTGTATAATATAACTTGGTTTTAAACCTTGGCTAATCTTCATTTCTGTGTCAGGTGTTGCTCGATGTAAACACAAGCTTTGACAACACTACAACAGGAAACGAAAAGTGTATGCCGAAAGGTTTAACTCCCACGGTAATGAGAGAAAACATAGAGCTTTTCCTTAAAAGTAAAGGCTACGGAGGCATAACGGGTTCAATCCAAGTCATTGCCCGGTCAGGATCACTCAGTGAGCAATTGGAAGAAGAGATGGTCAATAGCGGGTTCGCTGTCACCAATGTTGACCCTCCGACTCGTGGTAAGTACCTTGCTAAGTACACCTTCACTTAAGTGCAGAAGCATAAATAGCAAAGCTAAGAGCTGATAGTAACTTGGTTCGGAAAGTTGCTCAACTTCATGAGTGTTGAGCTTAGTTAGCAATTTTTTTTGTTAGAAATTAGCAGACACAACCAAAGGTGTCTGTCTTATTATTAGTAGTTTTTAATTGTCTTAGATGTCTTATTAATAACCAAAGGTGTGTCTTATTATTAATAGTCTTTTAATTGTCTTTAATAACCAAAGGTAATGTCTTATTAATAGTCTTTTATTTGTCTCAGAGAAAAAAGCCGGGGAAGACCATACCGATGTTCGAATTGGGCAGGTGATGCAAAGATGGTGTTTGGAACTACAACAGCTAGCCCCAATGGTCATCATTTCCAGCGATTCCAACCTTACCTTGGTGGTGAAGAGGCTAGATTCCATGGGTTTTCCGGTGATGCTAGCATATGGTCCAAGTGCTCCGCCCGAACTGTTGCAAGCGGCAAGAGAGAAGTTTCCATGGGGTGAACTTATAGCCCAGTAGATTAGTAGATTATCTTATTATCTTAGGACATGTAGGACATGAACGGAGAGATATGTTGTTGTATATTCTCTACAGGATTCTTTTTCGGTGTCCTTATTTTGATTATTGAGGCCTGGCTATATAATTAGTTAAGTTGGATTAAATTATGAAAGATTTGACTTTTTTGATATTATATAACCCCGTTTGTATAAAGGTCAAAGTGCAAGATGTGAGAGAGTTGGTCATGAAAGAGGTCATTTTTTTTTATTGATATCTTCTTTACCAAAACTACAGTATCATATTCGACTTTAGACGGTTCATACCATAATCACACTTGTGTTTCCGTTCACAAATTAATTCAATCACACACTATTCATAATTAAAAAATTAAAAAAACGTAGAAAATAGTTGTCCTTATTTTGATTATTGAGGTCTGGCTATATAATTAGTTACTAGATTCTCTTCCGCACTGTGTGCGAGAACATTTGTTC